CACACACACACACACACACACACACACACACACACACACACACACACTTGAAAACACATATACACAAACAAACACTAACACTGCACAAACAATATTACTTGTTTTTACTTCACGTATTTTATTCCTTTGTAAACTTGAAATGAATACGTCATTTGAAATTCAGATTCTGTAGCAGCAGAGCTCCTTGTGAAAAAGCTCGTCTAGGGTAGTACTGCCACCATACCTATTTCTGTCGCCAAGCAGTAATATTAGCACTGAGTCCCGGGTTTCAAGCCTAGGGGTGCTAGTGAGATTACACGCTCATGGGACTTGTCAACTTATGTCTCAGGGTGACGGGCGCAGTGGCAGCGCCCTTAAGATCTTTGCGATTTGAAGCTCAGAGTGGTATTTCAACTGTTAGGGGTAGGGGTGTCGTTTACCACCAGACATACGACTGTTTCGTCCTGTCACTTATTTATATTACAAAAAAAAAATTGAAGTAACGTATTGCCTCAGATTACAAATCTGAGCGTATTGCCTACTGAGATTATTTACTTAACTTATGTAATTTAGAAACTTATGTAACTTGAAAAACGAACAGTCAGAGTATTGACTTACAAATAAATGGACGACGGGTCTAATACAAAAACCACGAAAGAAATGTCCCAAGTCAACCTATTTAAACGTAGTGACATGTAAAGGAATATGAAAAAGCTAAAACGTTGAATTTAAATTGCAATGTCATCGCAGTACTGTCTAATTTTGCTTGCTTCGCTGCCAGTCGAACAAACGAAGACTAAAGCGTGAATGACGCTCTGTATACGATTTTAACGCCCTATAAGTTCGGACACTTTTTAGCGCGGACCCGACGTCCATATAATTGTGAAAAGTGAATGTGATATGGCATTTGATTTCTTTAATGTCATACAATTGTTTTTCTAGAAGCCAGTAGCAGTAAAGCTCCTTGTGAAAGACTCCGTCCAGGGTAAGTACTGCCACCCTACCTATTTATGCCGCCAAGCAGTAATATGAATGTTACAGTGTTATTAAATTTATTTTCTATTTAAATTAAAAATGTAGACGTTACCTTTGATAATCTCATGACGTAATGACGTCAGAAACTATATACTTCGTACACATATTACGAACCCAATACCACCCATCTTACTCCAGTAATAAGGTTGTTAATGTATCGTATTTGTAAAAGAATAAATTCTTTGTTTAGTTTTCCTTGACAAATCTAAGAATTTGAATTACGCGATGGATTTCCTCCTAGGGCATTTTAGTTGTGAACTTGTTGTCGTCGATGCAGGTACGTAGGTTTTATTTATTAAGTTACACGTTATAACTTAGTTATGAGCATTGAGCATGTAGAGCGGATGGGTGTAAGAAGAATTACCAAACAGATTTATGATGTGAATGTGCATCAAATGGTTTTAATAAGACGTCCCAGAAAGACACACTGACCAGCGCAGCGTCCTGATTCAAATTGGAATCGTTCCGTTCGGGCAGTCTCGTAATCAGACGGGTTTCTGAGCGAGAAGATGAACCTGATTCCTACTATATCGTTCTCATTTGTGAGTTAAATCAACTATTGTTTCGATTAGAAATGTCAAAGTTTCCGATCGGCCAGTTGTGAATCGCAATTATGCGCCTCGACTCGGAAAAGACACCGTTTCCGATCGGGCGAGGCAATCAAAATCAAGCTGCAGATCAGTGATGTCCTCAAAAAGGCTGGGAGCCGAAGAAACAAGAATAAAAGAAATTGTATGAAAAGCGTATGTAGTTGATATATGTGAGGCTAGAAAGTTATATCAGGATAGAGTAAGGTGGTGTTCCGTGGTCTCTGCCTACCCCTCCTGAGGGACAAGGGCATGATGAACATTGAACTTTTCGGATCGGCGTTCTCCGTCCGACAACTGTCGAAAATTTTTTTTTTATTGTGACTCGGCAAAATGACTGCACCGCGCCTGATGGAAAGTGCGAATACAGTCCAGAGATGGGGGTAACGGATGGAAAACACAAATATCTTCACTCCGTCACTATCATTTTGCCGGTCTGGCCAAATGCTTCTTCACACTACGTTTGAAGGACCCGATGTTATAGAGGGGAGGTTCCACAATTTGATGGTTCGGCATAAAAACGAATTGCCAAACTTTTTAGTGTGGGACGGTATTGAACTGACCGTCCAACTGTGGCAACGCAATCCTGCACCGGTGGTCCGCTGATGGAAAGGAGAGGAAGTGATAATTACAGTTAAATAAATAATCTTCTTCGTCTTCATGTAGATACCATCATCTAATGAAGGTCGGCGATTATAATGGCAATCTGGACCTTGGACACTGCAGTTTTTAATAATGATCGGGTGCTCCTGGTGCAAATTTCAGAGCCAGAATATTCTCCTTCTTTCTACACTTTTCTTTCCCCGTATTTTCAAATTCAAAATAATTTGTTTCGCCAATATTACAGCATATTATAGTACAAGAGTCACAAAAATTAAATGATATAAAAAACACATATTATTGAAAATTTGTTGTATAAGAGTCATGTCTCTCAACCGCTACCACTATTCACCTATGCGCTTGTCCGCATGCAAGCACATCCACTGGTGTAGCAGCGGAGAGTCCCACCGGTCAGTAGAAACGTTCAGAATGCTGTTAGATGATCTACGCAGGCGGCTCAGCAGCGACGCAGTACGCTTAAAATCACGTGGAAACCATCCGCGAACATACCTGAAGCGCTACAGAACGTGGCAAACCCAGCAGCATCCTGAACGTGTTATTATATTGTACGCGCAGTACGCCGGCTGACCGCTGCGCATATGAGACCCAGACGCTGCACGTGTAGAAGGATTGGCAGAAAGCTTTGAATAGCGTTATCTTGACTTCGTTAGAGCAGCGTGCGAATCTCCGAACAAGCATATTACAGCGGACAGCCAGAGCCCTGCGCTCTCTTTTTTTATGATAATGTGCTTTGGGTTTCTCAGTATATGACCCAGATGCTCCAGTTTCGTTCTTTTCATAATATTTTAACACGTCTCGTTTTCTACCGACACACGTTGCAGCACCTTTTCGTTCGTGACTTTGTCTCTCCTCGATACTCTCAACATTCTTCTATACACCCACATTTTGAACGCTTCTGCTTTGTGGAACATAGGTTCTGTGAGTGTCCAGATAAAGAATATTCGACCAAATTAAAAGAGGCATGATGCGAATGAAGCGAATGAATACTTGACATTCTTTTAATTTTGTTGAGTATTACTTATATGACAATTTTTATTTGACAATGGGTTCACGAGTGGCGACCACCAGCTTGATTTTGATTGCCTCTCTCTCCAGGTCTCGGCACGCGTAACGTAGGACGTCCCCCTGTAAGATAGACCGACGATCTGAAGAGGGTCGCGGGTAGTGGTTGGATGCGGAAAACGGGTTATCGGGCGCTATGGCGTACAATTGGGGAGGCTTATGTCCAGCAGTGGACTGCAATAGGCTGATTGATTGAATAAATAAATAAATAAAATAAAATTGTTTATTCAGTAACATAATGTACAGAGAAAACTAAAGACTACTTATGCGATTTAATGTAAAAATAACACATGTACCTGAACTAGGAAATTCCTGTATTTCAGGTAAAAAGTACTACTAAATATAAACGTGGATACTAATTAATATTATAAATACTTTTTAGGAGAATCTTATGAAATAAAATTAAACAATTAAACAATAAATTGCCAATCAAAAAAAATTTACACTTAAACAAGACAACATTTATTTTACGATAATAAATAAATTCTCTGTATCCTCATAGGACATATTTTGAAGAGCGTCTTGGAGAATTTTCTTTACCTTAAAGCAACAGAAATTATAAATGGAATATTTGGCGTTTAATTTATTGTACAAAAATGGTCCAAGAAACACAAAAAATCTTGAAATAAAAATATGTTTTGATGATATAATTTTGGGGCAGACAATATATTTTCGTCTTTTATTAGTGTTTTCAGTAATATATGGGAGCAATACGTGCTGTTTGAGGACTGTGGACTTAATAAATAATTGCCTTACAGTTAATACTTTACATGACTTGTACAGAAGGTCAGTGGGGTAACGGAAAGGGCGGTAGGTAGAAACCTTTAGGACAACTCGCTGGGCTCTTTCAATGATTAGTAAAGTATATGATATTTGACAATAATAGTTTAGGATGGATGTCAGATCAAGAACAAGAGTGGACCCCTTGAATCGCGTTTATTTATTTTTCGAATCTTATCGACTATATAAAGATCCTATAATGACAAATATACGCCATATAAATAAAAAACAGTTAAGGCGAAATATATGAATGAAAGTGTATTCCACGGTATTTAAGTTTATTTGTAAAGAGCAACCCCTAGAGTTTTTTACACGTTCTTCTCAGAGAAGTCAGCACAGTGAACGAGCAGTAGCTTAAAAATGATGTTTTGAAGAGCAAATTTATTTTACCTATGGAATAAATTTCTTTTTTAATTTGACTTTGACCTTGTTTTTAAATTTTCCAGTTGCATTGTAACAATATTACAAACGAGGATAAAACATCGCGTCATCTGACAGCGCTTGACCACGGCAAGTACAACTTGGCTGGAATGTCACAATAACAGGTAGGTTGGTGTGCAAGTGTTTATTAAATAGATTTTATTGATTTCAAGCACTGGAAATACGACTGTAATGTCAGGGACTTGAGTATGATTTCGAGTCTCAAATTCTGATCAAATTCAATCAAAATCCATACTCAAATCCTGAATAGAGCATTGAGTAGAGTTCTTGAATACGACCCTAAGTATGCTACGAGAATAATTTCGTTATTCAAACTAATGAGAATTTATATATGTCATTTCGTTTCGAAAATACAAAATCGAACAACGGTCTATTTGACATTCACAGCGAAGAAGAACGAACGAAATGTACTATGTCCTGAGAACAAGTAGTCTTGCACATAGATCATTGTTCTACGGGTGAGTCGAAATAGTCGTGATATGGGAACGGGCTAGACGCGACAGTCGTCCAACGATAAATAAAACGTTACGACATAATGGGAATGGGTACTTATATATAAATGGGTAGCAGTACTACTCTGGACGAACTCATTCGCAAGAAGTTACCTAAAGGTCTACTCTCAAAATATACAACCGCAGCTGCATACGAAATCAAAACGATCCGTGAGCCGTCCGCTGTTCGTTAGCCACAATTGCTTGTGTCAAATCACGATCTTCGACTCGTCGTTACTTCCGGGTCCGATACGAAGCTAAAGCGATGATCGTTGCTTCTTATTTCGTATGACGTGTTGAGGTTATGATGTCCGATACACGTGTCAAAATCCTGTCTTTTCGTAGTAGGTTTATCAACGTCCGATGTCGGACACCCATATAAATCACGCGTTTCATTCCGCTATCGTTCCACAATCGGGCACCTAACGCGTTTCATAGTAAGAAATTATTAAAACGAAGGCCGTACGCAGCTACGTATATCGGATTTTACTTTTGGGAATAGACGCTTAGAGCGTACTACTACGAAATAAGTAAAGCATAAGTTTGTATAAAAAATAAATAATTAATAATAATAGACTGAAACTATTTTATTTATTTCCCTGTACGATGAGCATCAGAGCAATGGAATTCACTCCGGTGCACAACCCCGAACAGCCAAACAACAAAAACAGGATAATGTTGTTATTTATAAATGATTAATAACAAAGATCGCACACTTACAAAACTTCATTCGATCTGGCTGGACTCGAACTGGCACCCTTAGACAATCCGTGCCAGATGCTTTGCCAATTAAGCCACGGAACGAACCACATTTTTGTTTTTGGTTTTTAACCGACTTCAAAAAAAGAAGGAGGTTCCCAACTGGACTTTGTTTTTTTTGTATGTATGTTACGCGTTAACGATTTTGATTGTTGAAGAAAATAGTCCACCTCTAAGGGTGGCAAAATAGGCGATAATACTCTGTACTGAGATTATTAAAGATTTTTTTACCAAATACCATGGTAGTAAAACATAGTGACATTCAATAAACTTTTTTTTATGAAGTCTCTTGCGACGTGCGATCGGTCCATGGACCATGAGGAGCTGTTTTGTTATGATTCTATTTGGCGTGGTAGGCTCGCCCGCCCTGTGTTAGGCTGCCTTCATCTTTCCAATTTCTCCTTCCTTTAGTCACACATGTGGCGCCTCTTCAATAGTCTGTTACTTAGTGATTCGTTCAAAGCTTGTGCAAGCCTGTTTTTATGTCGTGAGATTCCGTCCTTATCCGCTCATGCGATGCGCTCCTCCTACCGCAAAATGGCGGCTATTTGGTTTCGCAAATTAGAAAAGCATTCAGTTTAAATACATTTTTTTATAAATAAAAATTATTATTCTGCATTGCTAAATAAATACCCTCCGTACTACCAACAAAAACATCTCAAATACAATGGAGTAATACACCGCAAATCCTGCACTTAAAAAGCGCTAATGAAATTTTTGGTGTACTTGGATAAATATGATAATATTCCGTTTGAGTGGTTCTAACGTTTACCATGAAATTACCCCTTAAAGTATAGTTTATAAACATTTATATTCTGGGTAAACTTAAAAAACGCTACTTACGGTATGTTTTCAATAAATAAACACCGAAATCACCAGCCCAAACAATAACACACACGATTGTCGTGACGTATTTTTGAAGTTGTTTATTTTTTTAAATGACAGACCCAGGCATTACAAACTTTATGGTTTGCTAGAGTAGTTACCGAAATAGCAATTAATATTAGTTCTTTTACCTGTTATAACTTCGATATCCGATAAATCGGTATAAAATCATCACCGGCACCTCTAGGTGTGGTATGCGTCTACGGCTGCATGTATCGCGTGAGCGGTTATAGGTTTTTGTCATGCTACTTATCTCCTGTTTGACAGTAGGGATTTGCAGATAATCATCAATCTCATCCATTTTTGTGAACCATGGAGCATTTATCAGAGTTTTGAGCACACCATTTTGGAACCTCTGTAATATCTCCAAGTTATCAATACTTGCTGATCCCCACAGTTGTAATCCATAATTCCAAACCTGTTTGAGGACAGTTTTGTAGATAATTAACTTGTTCTCAAGAGACAATCGGGATTTTCATTCCAATGATCTGAATTTCTTGTTAACCTGATCACGCTTCTTTTGTATGTGTATATTCCAGGTTTGTCTGCGGTCGAGGTAGAATCCCAAGTATTTAACAACAGTATTGTGGGGTAGCACATCTTCACCTAGTTTTACAGTTGGGGAATCTTCTCTTCGCAATATAAACGTGATGTAATTGGAGTTTGCTGCGCTAGCTTTGATTCTCCTTTGATTGAATGTATCTTATCAAGGTGCAATACTCTTGAAGCAGTCTCTGGGTCTCTATCTGATGTTAGAATGGCTATGACATATGCGAATGTAGCAGTCAAGATATTAACAGATTCTGGTACATCAGCCGTATACAACATGTAGAGCAATGGCCCCAACACCACTCTGGGGGATACCTGCTTTTATATCATAGAACTTGGAGGTTGCATCGTTAATCTTAACGTGGAACATCCGATCTTTAAATATGATTTTAATTAATAGTAGGTACATATTGTAAGGTATAAGTTTTTTAGCTTGAACAACAACCCACTTACTTACTTACTTGGTGTAACGGGCTGGTGTCCGCAACAACAACCCACTGTGCCAGACTTTATCAAATGCTTGTTGTACGTCTAGCAATATACCTGAGCAGTATTCTTTTTGTTCTAGTGAATTTCTTATAGGTATATTCACATATTCTGTGAACCTGTTCAACAGATGAATGTTTTTTTCTGAATTCAAATTGGTGTTTTGGGACCAAGTCTTCTTCATGAAGATAATTGTTGAGGCGTGTGGATAGTATTTTTTCTAATACCTTTGACAGTACGGGGAGCAAGCTTATTGGTTAATAAACTTAAAAATTAAAGCTGTTTAACTTGTTTTGTAGAACTTTAACTTGTTTGACCTCCGTGGTCGAATGGCTAGCACACCAGTTTTCATAGCGTCGCAATCTCCGTGATCTCCCGGTTCAATCTAGAAAAACTAACTTTTCTATATTCTGATATGGTCTGAGTGTTTGTGGTACCGTCGTTGTTTCCTATTTCCGTAACACAAGTGCTTTAGCTACTTACATTGGGATCAGAGCAGAGGGATATTTATTTATTTATTTGTGTTCATTTGTATTAATTTATTTATTATTTATTTACAAATTACAAAAGCAAGTAATTGAATTTCCATACACATTTTAATTGTGTTACTAACAGAGGGTTTCAGATGCTGGGTTTTATCATTTATACTTCGAAGGGTCTTAAAAAGTCTTATGTAATAACCTTATTCCGACTCTACTAAGGTTTAGTTAGGTCAATTTTGGAATAATTTCTGTGATTTGGTCACCAGCCTATAATGTTCACTTGCAAAATATTGAACGAGTTCAAAAATCATTTTTGAGATCAGTTTGTGGTAGATTCGGTTTACTGCGAAGTCTGCAATCGTGTGCCAGTAGGGTTGAGTACTTGACAGTGCCGTTATTCGAAAAAAGGGAGATTTTAATGATCTCATTTCCTTACATAAAATCATACACTCTATGGTGGATTGTCCCAAACTTTTAAGCCAAATTAATCTTAATGCCAAAGTACGTCTCAGGGTGCCGAAAGTAATACCTCTTTTTTAAAGCCCTATAGTGAAAATGTGTCTAGTATATAATGAATTTAAGCAAGGTAATGCTCATCTCGATATTTTTAATTCGGAAATTAATTCACGCAAGACGCAATTTTACGTGTATCGCTAGAGTTTTAGCTTTTGACCACTTTGTGTTCCGTTACATTGTTATTACTATTATTTTTTAACTATATAAACAAATCACTTTGTAAATTTATTTATTAATTTCTTTTTTCTTTTTCACTTTTTTGTTATCTTCGTATTGGATTTGGAGATTGTAATTTTACACTAACTCAATACTGAGACTAACAAATTTAATCACGCTGTGTTCACTGTTTTTGGAATGTGGTCTAGTCTATTTATCAAACTGTATCAGTTACCATGTTTTTTTTATAACATCAAGTGACGGGACGAACAAGTCGTGCGCCTGATGGTAAGCTGCACGCCTGTCCATAACAGTTACAGTGCCACTCAGAGCTTTAAATTGCAAAGATCTGAGGGGCACTGCCACTGCGCCCGTCACCCTGAGACGTAAGCTCTACTGCTACTAAATGTGAAGGTGTGTGAAATGTGAAACCATGTGATGATTACATTCTGTCTGTGTACTTTTAAATTAAAATTGAAAAAAAATATATTAAATTAATTCTAACGCCCAGAATACTACGACTAAAACACTTCATTAATTTTATTGTATCTTAAATTCTAGTGACGTATTTTTCAAATTTATCATTCTCGTCACGTCGTATTATAAACAACACAGAAAATATATTAAAAAATGAATCTCTTTCCTTACTTATGTGATTATGTCCGCCGACCATAGAATTGTAACCTGGTAAATTGAGTATACATTCACTTGTCAATATGTTTCAGATTGCCAATATGTCGCTTCAGATCAAGTTCGGAATCATTGGCCTGCTCGTCACCATCGTAAACTCGGCTACGGACGACGCCACCTCGCCAGTTACATCGATATTACCGACCGAATGGACCTCTCAAGTGAACTTTTCTTTTGACCCCTCTCTCGAATTGAACGAAACTAAAGCTTTGTTGATTCTATACGACGCAGCATTTACGCCGTTCATTTCAAAGGAAGATAATAATTATGGTGATGTATTAACGACGAGACTGTGTCCAAATGGCGAACAATTCAGCTGGATATCAAAAATATGCACTAAGACAGCTGAAGAGGCTCCTGAAATGTCTGATGACTGGTAAAGAGATAACTTTGTAGCAGTGGTTAGTAGTTTTTGCATCGAGCTTCCATAAAAAAAAGGCAATAATAGAACGTTAACATTTCGATACCTCCAATTAACACTACGCCAATTTTATTTTTTGGTCATTTTCTGTTATTTTTGTAAACAGCCATATTTATTAACTAATATTACGGTCCCAGAACTTTGAAAAAAAAAAGAAACAAAAAACAAAATTAAAAAAAAGCAACAAAAAAAACAAAAAACAGAACAGCAGAGGGGGTGTGTAGATAATTGAGACGCAGACTTTGTGGACAAGGCGTGAACAACAAAAAGATTATGCGGCTAGTGACCCAACAGTGTGTTTGACTGACGTAAGGTTCAGTGCCGAAGTTAGGATAGAGTAATGCCCGGAACACACAAAACTAGTTTTTCAAGCTAGGACAGAAAGCTAGCAAGCTGGTAACTCTGTCTTATAATACGGAATTATATTAATATAAAATTATATTAAATACGGAAACGCTATAATACGGAATAGTGGCATTCCATAGGGATTCCTCTTTCTTTTAATTATATTAATAATAATATAATCTTTTATTTATAATCTTTTAAATAATAATATTAATTTTGAATCAATTACGGTACTCAGTTTCGGCATGTAAACTGTCTCAGAAACACGTGGTCAAATACTCCAATTTGAAGTTAGGCAGGTATTAATAGTACCTAAAAATAAAAATTTAAGAAT